AGAACTATGAGGTGAGTGATTTCCACTCATCCTCATAGTTAGAGCCGACCTGTGACAAAGAATCTGTCACAGGTCGGCTCTATTGATCGGGAAGTGAGCAGAAACATGCACCGATTTGCTCACTTCCCAATCGTCTCCCTGCAGTGAGCGGTGACCGTCAGTCACCGCTCCCTGCAGGGATTCTCCCCTCTCCGATCCTCCAGTGCTGTGGAGGAATGAACATGGGAGGGGGCGGGCACAGCTGGCTCTGCCTCTAGATAGGCAGGGCCGACTGTCACTCACGCAGCTGGGTGGATTTCGACAGTAATGTCGGGATCCGTCCCGGCTGCAGCACTCAGAGTATATCTCGGGCAATAGCCCTCTATATACTGAGCTTTGGGTCACGAGAGGAGGTTAGTATATGTCCTCCCGTGACCCTAAAAAGAACTCTGGGGAAAAAACACTTAACCCATAGTTCTCTTTTAAAGATTAGCCACAAAAAAAGGAAACATTTGAATAGAACTGCAAGTCAGCAGACCCTTTGTTGACTTGCAACTACCTTCCAATTTTGGTGTGAAGGGGCCCTTAATGTGTATCTTTGACCCAAACATGTTTTTTGTTTTGAATAGTGCAGGGAATGTTTATGGGCCCCTGGCAGGTCTTTTTTTTGTGGCATATTGTGGCACAAGCAGCAATAAATCTTTACAGAGATCCTAGCCAATAACATTTTTATAGATGCTGTGTTCCTTTAGCCTGCATTTACACCGGAGCGACAAGAAATAAGCATGTTTTGCACGCGCATAGTCACGCGTTTTAATGAGCAGATTGCGGCACTTTCATTTCGATGGACAGACTAGTGTAAAATGCATGTAAAAATATGCACAAATTCAGCACTTCCATTGGAGTCTATCGGGCCAAGAAGCGCAGAATCTGCTAAAAAGAAGCTCATGTACTTGCTACAAGCAGCGGGCATTTTGCTACAGGCGACATGACGCTCAGATGTACTAGAAAACGCTCAGTGTGAATGAGGGCTTAAAGTGCAATGAACTCATCCAAGCAAAAAAAATACCAGGCAGAGTTTTCCTGAAGAGAAATGCAAAGTCCCTTTTGCCAAAAAAAAGCCCCTGCTGAGTTTTTGTCTTTTGTAGAGCCAGATTCATTCTTAGGCCAAAAAGCAGGGTGTCTGGGACTATGTAACTCCTGCAAACACGCACAGGAATTACATCATCAGCAGACGAAGAAGATTACAGCACTAGCGATGGCGGCAGCTGAGGATGGAGTATTGACAAGATCCTGAATCCATCATTGCTGGAGGGCGGCACAGTAGCAGGTAGGGGTGCCATGCTGCATACTTGCACATTATGGCAAGAGCTTACCCACACCAATGCAGGCTTCATTTCCCTTTGAGAGAGATTTCCTTTGTCACTGGGACAGAAAGTGGTGAAAAGTCTCCCAAACAGGGCCAGCTGTTCTAACTGTTCCTTATACTATTCACAACTGCAGGTAACATTTTGGCAACAATATACTATAAAAGAAACATTAGTTAGGACTCCGCTCCACTAACAGATCAATGAGGAGATTCCCCTATTGCCCTTATTTGCTCTTCACTGTATGGGTAATGATGTACATATGTTTGAATGGGTCTATTTGAGACAATGTATAACAATTCCAAACAAGTGTGGAATTCTAGGAATGTCTAAGTCTCTAAGAAAAACAAAGAGTAAAAGGAAAATAATCATTCCATGATTACTGATTACCGGCTGTTATCACGGATTGTAATAAACAAACAATGCTATTCCAAGACTGATACCGCAGACCATTCACAAGGCAAATGTTGTCTGACACCAAAGTGTCTAAGCTGCACACAATGGAATAAGGAGGCATTTGTACAGCAATGTATGATGGAGTAGTAGTCATTTTATGTCACTCTGAAAGGAAATCTGATCACCTAGACATGCCATACAGCAGATGACCAGGTAGGTGTATCCAATTAATCGGAATTTGATTTTACTATTATGCAAATGTTTTTCCAAATGTGATCATAAATGTTTTAGGCCTTGTTCACACCAAGCGCGGAGCAGTCCCGGAGCAGTTGCAGACCGGATCAAAACTGCATCCAATGTATTCCAATGGTATTTTTAGCTCCAGTTCACATTGCAGCGTTCTGTTCCAGAGCAGGTAAAAAAACTGCAGCAGGATACTCCCAATGTCACCCTGGGCATAATTTTTCTTTTTTTAAAACATCTTTGATTGCAAGTGACTAACTACTTCAACTCTCATACCTGTACGTCCCCTATGGACCAGAGCAATTTTTACATTTCGACGATGGGCTTGTTTATTCAGCAATAACTCAATACTTCACATATGCCGTAGTAATACATAGGGATGCATTGATACCGTTTTTTCTATATCAAGTACCAGTATTTTTTCTTCGGCACTTGATACCGATACCCGAAGTCCCATTAAGGAAGCGAAGCGCCGTGTAATGACTCGCCATCTGGCTTCCTGATTAGCTGGGATGCGTGTAAAGACTTGCCACCCAGCTTCCCGATTAGCAGGGAAGCTGTCTCCATGCTTCTCGTCACTAAGTGATGAGAAAGCATGGAGCAAGGTTTCTGGCCAATCAGGAAACCGGGCGCCATGTAATGACATGGCGCCTGGCTCCGATTGGCCGGAAAGTCGGCTCCTTGCTCCCTTGTCATGAGGTAACGAGGCAGCATGAAGCCGGCTTTCCGGCCAATCAGAAAGCTGGGCGCCGTGTCATTATACGGCGCCCGGCTTCTTGATTGGCCAGCTTCCCGACCACCCAGGAAGCATGGCAGTGAGTCATTACACGAGGGAGCATGGAGCAGGCTTCCTGACACTGGAAGCTCAAGTATTGGGCTAGGCATCAGAGCACTTGGGCAAGTATGAGTACTCACCCAAATAGTTGGCATCGGCACCGATAATAGTATCGGTATGTCCCTAGTAATAAACATTTTTTATAAAGAAAAAAAAACAGGATTTCTTTTGGCCAAACTGTGTTGCTAAAATAAATTTTCTTTTTTTTTTTATTATTATTCCATAGACAAGCAAAATGTAAAAAAAATAAAATTTTCTTCACCGTCTTTTTTTTTAATCGTTCGTTTAAAAAAGTAAATAAATTAGAGATGCACAGAAATAAAATTTTGTCACGCCAAAAACTAAACTGACTTTTCTTACATCTCTTTTTCTGCAGCCCCTGTTAGGAATGAACAGCAAGCCTCTATACTGAGTGCTCCATTCATAAAAACTGGGGAGATAGTATCAGTTACACAATCATGAATGAACAGGAAGTTATATTTTCATTCATTACTGGGGACACAGTAAGCTTACTATGTCCTCAGTTATTTACAACCAATCAGCGATTAGTACCGATTCCTTAATGGGTGGGCCTGGTTCGTTATGACCCTCAGGTGGTTATAATGAATAAGACTCTCCCATTCAGGAATCCATCTGCAAAGGTCACGCCAAAACACAAAGCTATTTCTTCAGAACAGAAAAGGGTCAGACAAAAACAACAAACTTTGTGAAAATCTATGCAGTGAACATAGATTACCCAAAAGGGTTTGTTTTTATTCTCAGCAAAAGTATTGTTACTCTTGTGGGGCAGAAGAACAGTGTATACTACACACATCCTGTGCAGCTTGATGAAGTTTTTTTGGTTGTGTAGCACAGCCAGTGCCCATAACTGGATAAGATATCAGAACATTCACTATGACAATAGCTTTTCAATGAAGACATTTCCTTGCAAATCTAATCCTCTGAATGGTCAAACTTTATAAAATGCTCTATGTGCCTGCTTCCACAATAAGCATGCACTGTATAAGGAAATGGCTAACTGGATTTTAATAAGTGTGACCAGATTGTGTGAGCTACAATTATCTGCAGTGTCCAGAGTGGCACACCTAACTCTAAGCAGTTTTCAATCAGAGTACAGGCAGTCCCCGACTTACGAACGCCCGACTTGCATACAACCCGTACTTATGAACCGAGGTCCGAGGCTGCAGCAAATGTACCGTGCAGCGCTCAACAGCGCAGCGTTCCACTAGTCACGGTGCTCGTGCCGACGATTGCAGACGAGTAGTGGGTCTGGATTGTAGTACTGTACCATACAGTAATATACCTCCTGCAGGAAGTTGTTAGCGAGTGCCCGCCTCTTCTTCCGGGTCTGGTACTGAACAGGAAGTTGGCTCTGACGGTCATTACCCCAGTCATAACCCTGTATGTACTGTACACTGTACTGAACACTTTTATTTGTCTTCCTTGTCTATTTGTTTGCCTGTAAAAATGCCGAAAAAAAAGTGCTGGTTCTGAACAGGGGCACAGACAGCAAAACAAACGTAATCCTTTCCCTATGCTATCCAAAACTAAAAAATGTTTTTTTTTGGACTGGAGTTACACTTAAAAAAATTTACCTGTTCCAACTTGCATACAAATTCTACTTAAGAACGAATCTAGAGTCCCTATCTTGTTCATAACCTGGGGACTGCATGTACAAGGCCAAACGGCTTCAACTCAAAAGCAGGACAAAGAATTAAAAATGTAGATGCCACTAGGTTTTTCCTTCAGTGTGCTCTACAAATCAGTGATCATACTTCAGGAGACAGAAGCAATGACAATTCCCAACAACAGTGGTCCATAGCTATGTGTCAGTAAGTTCAGGATACACCAACCACTACAGTCATTGATGGCGCAGTCACAGCACCAGGTGCTTGAACATTTACAGTACATGCACATGTATAAGAATGGAGTCTCAAGACATGACAAAACATTAAGTTTAACGTATGCTTAGACGTATAAAAGGAATATCATGAGGAATACATAAAGTATACGTTACACTCTGTAATAAGAGATTCATAATTTTAAAACCAAAATGAAGACTTTGTCTGGTCAGCAAAATTAATTTAGGCAGCATGTAAACATATTGGTCTGATCTGAAATTTACCACACAGTGCTTGCAGAGTTCTGACATTAAACACAAGATAACAGGGATATTTTACCTTCTCAGCTTTCTTGTCCGAAATGTCCTGCTTCTCCAATACAGCTATGCTTTCCTTTAGGTTCTTCACTATGTCTGCAGGAGACTTGTGGGACTTCCCAAAGGGGAATGGCATGTTTGCTAGTACTAGTGTAACACTGCTTTATGGTACACCTGAAAAAGAAAACACAAAAGAATCAGCAGCTGCACCGGATACCAGTTCCCTCCACTAAATTGTTAACCATCTGCTAGGCACTCGAAGCAAACGTTTAGATCAGCGTCTCAAAGTAGCGTCCCGCGAACCGGTACTATGTGGCTATATTCTACTCCATGTCTGCAAGATTATTTGGACATTTTGGCAACACTTAATACGAAATCACCTGCACTCCATACAGCGTACAGACCTTGTTGAAAGGTTGGTGTTTGAAGTGAAAACACGGATGGCGCCGTGTCAGATACAGTCCATAATAGAAGTCACTAGCACTCGATATGTGCAAGAAGTAAAGCACTTTTTATTAAATTGTCACATGCGTCATACAGCCAATGTTTCGGGGCCACGCAGGGTCCCTTCTTCTGGGCGACATAGTGACCTACCGTATTTGACGGAGTATAAGACGGGTTTTGAGACCTAAAAACATCGCCCGAAAATCGGGGGTCGCCTTATAAGCCGGCAAATACGGAAATGTAATGCTAGTTGTGTAAAATTTAAACGTACCGTATAACAGCCTTCCAATGGTGTATACAGTACGCTGTATAATAGCTTGAATAACGGGATTTATCTTCGTCCAGGCCGCTGTATGTGTGGTAATACTGTACGGTAGCTTCGTCTACATACTGTATACCCCGCTGAGCCAATCATGGCGAGCATTGTATACAAAGCCTGCTCGGATTGGCTGTGTAGATCGCTCGCCATGATTGGCTAAGCGGGGTATACTGTATGTAGCCGAAGCTACTGTACAGTATTACCACACATACAGCGGCCTGATCTACAGATAAATCCCGTTATTCAGGGGGGGCGTGGCGAGCTGCCGAGGAAGATGGCCGCAGTCTAACGGAGCTCCGCAACACCCGGTCCCCAGAGAGCTATCATTAGCCAGCACTTCTCCTGGTCCATCGGTGGTCTGGAATTCCACGCTCCGCTCGCTCCTCCACAGGTTTCTTGTGAGTTATTGTATGCATGGGTCTGTCACTAAGGGTTGCCTAACATACAGGTGATATTTTGTATTACCAAAATGGCCGAAAAAGACCTCACTATGGCCCAAAAAGAAGGAAATATGAAGCCAGTTTCAAACTGAAAGTTATAAACTTTGCCAATGAACATAATAACTGTGCTGCTGCAAGACAATATGGAGTAACAGTAAAGATGGTCAGAGACTGGAACACAAATGAAGATGCATTAAGAGTATGCCAAGGAGTAAGTGTGCATTAAGAAGAGGCACCCCACATTGGCCAGAACTCGAAAAACATGTAGCCGACATGGTGCACTTCAGTGCACCAAAAAAAGTTCAATTCTAGGGCTGCAACAACTAATCGACATAATCGATTATAACGATTATTGAAAAAGTTGACATAATCGATTATAATCGATTATTGAAAAAGTTGTCAACTTTTTCAATAATCGATTAATAAATTCATATCAAGTTTTCATAAGCTCCAAAGTAGATTATACAAACTGACTGTAATGTGTGTCACCTGCTTTAGATTTCCAAACTACACAGTGATTGGTAAATCTGTGGAGAAGCCTAGGACTAGAGCGCAATGTGTGAAGCCCGCTTTACAGCTCGGGTGATTTCTATCTCTCCAATCCGGCACACATTTTAGCATTTGTGAGGCAATATGTGCACAGCTGTTAGCAGGCTTGCGGTGGAAGTCACCTTTGCCCCATTTACCTGTCTAGGCCAAGCATCAGGAATACTCGGGACATGAAAAGGGTCACTAAATAAATACAAAGTTTATCTATTACCCTCATTTCTGTTGTCCTAAACCACACCTAGTGCTCAAAGGTCCCGAATGAATCTGCCCTCTGGAAACACATTGTTTGCTTTCCCATCCACTATTTATCCAAGTCATCTCCACCTAGATAAACAGGTCTCACAGTCTTTTCAAACAGCTCTGATGGCCTCCGCAGTCCTATAAAACCCTTTTTCTGCAGCCTGTCCTTGGTACTAGATAGTGTCCCCTGAGAAATATGCTTTCTTTACCTTTCTTTAAAATACAATTGTGGAGAAAAACCAAAAGAAAACCAAAACAAATTTAAAATAAAAAAAAGGCCAGAAGAGTAGGAACCATAAGGTAGTCCTACTCATGGAAATCCCTCGTTATCTACCCTCACAAATGCCATGGGAGCCCCTCATGGAGTTGACAAATACTGACCCTCTCATGGCAGAAAAATAAGAATCTCCTTTCCTGGCCTCAATCTTAAGATGGGGTGAAGTAGGGTGGGTACTCTCATTACGAATACCAGAAAGAACAACTTTGTGGGTGAGATTCTGAGGGCTCCTCAGAGCAGTTATATATCTATGGTCAAAAAAATAAAAATATGTATGTCAATATTGAATTTCCATAAGTTCTTTCCACTCCTTACAACCAAATTTGATCTACAAGTTTGCAAACTTACATACTGAAGATGCCCATAGGATGTACCTCCTCAATGTACTGATACAATTTCACTCAGCCCTGTGAATATGCACTTCCTTGCGTCACCACTCTCACAGAGCCTGTGCTTTCTGAACTGCAAACTCAACATCTGAACAATGTAACATTATTGCTTTCTGGAAGCAATGCATGATGGGATATGTAGTCTTAAGACATCAAGATTGCATCACATCAAGCAGCAGGGAAAGAGATGCAAAGCCCACTGGGAATTCTGAGAAGGCAGCACTCACTACATAAAAGGGATTTTTTCAAGTTGCATTATCAAAAACAACTCTAATATGTATTCCTATTACAATGCTGATGTTATAACAAGATGGTGTATGCTGGGACTAGACAACTCCTTTAAGTACTGGTATCCAATGTGTTAACACACATGTTCTATTCACGCTACAATGTGACGTTTAAGAAACATTCGCTGCAGGTGAATCAAAAACTGTAATTTTACACACATGCACCAGTTAAATACACCCAAATGCTTGGTGACCAGGGGTTTATAAGCATGCCAGTGAACAATAGCACGATGTAGACATCAGCTCAGCCCCGGTTCCTGGAAACCTTCAGGCCTCAGCTCAAGTTCTGGCACCTTCAGGCCTCAGCTCAAGTTCTGGCACCTTCAGGCCTCAGCTCAAGTTCTGGCACCTTCAGGCCTCAGCTCAAAATCTGGCACCTTCAGGCCTCAGCTCAAGTTCTGGCACCTTCAGGCCTCAGCTCAAGTTCTGGCACCTTCAGGCCTCAGCTCAAGTTCTGGCACCTTCAGGCCTCAGCTCAAGTTCTGGCACCTTCAGGCCTCAGCTCAAGTTCTGGCACCTTCAGGCCTCAGCTCAAGTTCTGGCACCTTCAGGCCTCAGCTCAAGTTCTGGCACCTTCAGGCCTCAGCTCAAGTTCTGGCACCTTCAGGCCTCAGCTCAAGTTCTGGCACCTTCAGGCCTCAGCTCAAGTTCTGGCACCTTCAGGCCTCAGCTCAAGTTCTGGCACCTTCAGGCCTCAGCTCAAGTTCTGGCACCTTCAGGCCTCAGCTCAAGTTCTGGCACCTTCAGGCCTCAGCTCAAGTTCTGGCACCTTCAGGCCTCAGCTCAAGTTCTGGCACCTTCAGGCCTCAGCTCAAGTTCTGGCACCTTCAGGCCTCAGCTCAAGTTCTGGCACCTTCAGGCCTCAGCTCAAGTTCTGGCACCTTCAGGCCTCAGCTCAAGTTCTGGCACCTTCAGGCCTCAGCTCAAGTTCTGGCACCTTCAGGCCTCAGCTCAAGTTCTGGCACCTTCAGGCCTCAGCTCAAGTTCTGGCACCTTCAGGCCTCAGCTCAAGTTCTGGCACCTTCAGGCCTCAGCTCAAGTTCTGGCACCTTCAGGCCTCAGCTCAAGTTCTGGCACCTTCAGGCCTCAGCTCAAGTTCTGGCACCTTCAGGCCTCAGCTCAAGTTCTGGCACCTTCAGGCCTCAGCTCAAGTTCTGGCACCTTCAGGCCTCAGCTCAAGTTCTGGCACCTTCAGGCCTCAGCTCAAGTTCTGGCACCTTCAGGCCTCAGCTCAAGTTCTGGCACCTTCAGAAATGCAGGAAACTTACATTCATACCTGCTGCAGCTGAATATTCCACTAGAAGGAGAAAAGGGCAAGGTGACCAGGCTTCTTGAAATGAGGACGTCCACAGTGATGTTAGACAGGCCTCTCTGAAATGTCATGGGGGTGGGTGGGCCATGGGCGTAGAGGGTCTGTAAGTTTAGGGAACAGGGAAGAATGCCAAACTGGGAATACGTGCCTTAGGCTGCCTATCCTTGATATACCCCATAGAGTACTGCGGCAACAAGAGGAATACCACTCACCCAGCTCTGTAGTATAGCATAAAAGCAAACAGCAAAACTGACACTGAAATTCTCCTAAAATAGTGGGAAATCTGGGGGGGGTGCAAAAATCAGCCTTCTGGGATCTGCCCAGCCGAAACTAAATACTGTATTATAATTTGCACACACAAATATAATAAGGGTGTATGTAAATAGGGGCTTTTGATTATACAGGGGGTATAAATTGCTAAACACTTTATATTCTGAAGTTCCTAGCAAAAAATAAGATTTGCCTTCATCTGATTGATTTCTAATAACTGAAATCTAATTAGCTAGTTTGAAAATGCAGTAAACCGTAGCTGTTGTCTTTGTGCTGCCTATCCAAATATTTGTTCCATAATGTTAAAAAAAAAAAAGAAGTATTTTCTACAAAAATACAGTCCCAAGCCTAACAACACTCTCAGATTTTCATAGACAGTAAAGTATTTGTCCCTGAAAAAGTGTTTAGCTTCCTAATCTGTTATGACCAACTGTAGAATAAATTCCCTCCTCTTTGCTATGCAGTACACACATGATTGCAGCATCACACACTAATAATAACACCCACTGCAATCCGAGGAGTATACAACCATACCAGGACCAGTATTGAGTATACGGCACAGGGATGTACCATGTGCTTTGGCTCCAAGTGCATTCTGCTTGCTCTGGACAGTAAAAAGTAACCCGAAAAGCATTCATAACAAACACGGTCTCGTCAGTCACTAATAAGTGCTAATAAGATGTATTGTCCACGTTAGGATTCCGACTGATCACTGCAAGGAAACATCAAACTTGCAGATGGATAATAGGAGTTCCATCAAGCAGAAGGTCATCAAATACAGGTTAGAGAGAGGCACAAATTACACTTTAATACAGTGTGATGAGTGTAAAGATTTCACAAACGTAGCTTGTGTATTATGGTGTAAGGCTGCAACTAACGAAAATTTTCATAACTGATTAGGTGGCCAATTATTTTTTCCATTAATCAGATTTAGAAAATAAATAAATGCCATTCTTCATTTAAAATACACAAATGGAGAGTTCTAAACAGAGTTTACTTCAGAATAAAACTGCATGCATGATTTTTTGCAATCGCACCACAATGGAACACACAGCATTGCGGTACCAAGCGTTCCGGTGGGGGTGATTGCACTGCGGGCGGTAGGCACGTTTGGGGTGCAACTGAAATAAATGGAACCACCATGCACCTCCTGCACCACAATTTGTCAGGCCAAAACCAAAGATTACTTTTTCCCAACTTTTTATAAATTAGTGGGGGGAGGAGCAATTTTTTTTTTTACTTTACGGTTACAGGGAAATATTAGAGGTCTAAACGGACCGCTGATATTTTCCTGAGGCGGGGGTGAGGTTTGGTGTAGAGCTGCAACAACTAATCGATGAGAATAGTTGGCAACTATTCTCCTCATCAATTAGTTGGTTGAGGGGGGCAAGAGCGATGTTTTATACAACCAATCGATTCATTGAAAAAATAATCGGGCGACTAATCGATTATGAAAATAATCATTAGCTGCAGCCCTAGTTTGGTGGAACTCTCCTCACTGCTAGGTAGCAGCTGCAGGGGGTCTCTGCAAATGAAAAAGCAGCTGCACGGAGGAGAGAACTAGGGGATCCAGATCGTTGACAACGTTCTCATTATCGATTATATTGTTTCAGCCCTAGTATGATGGTTACACAAAACAAAGCATGCCAACACTGTGCAGTGTGGCATACTCTGAACAAGTCTCAGTACACTATTAATAACTTGCAGTTTGATGGTGATAGCACAGTTTTGGGTAAGCAAGGCCCAGTATAACATATAGTCAGGTGATAGCTGGGGTGATGCCAGGGATCATAATAATACACAGCAAGCCTGGCAGATGATGGCAGAACACATGAATAGGAGGGACTGGTATCTCTACATATAAACAACCTGCAGTAAAGTGCAGAGTGCTAATGGTGGGTGTTCAGCGGATAGCAGCGATCAGTTATAAAACCATAGCAATACCTTGCAGTGATAAATGCATTTAGGGTATCATACCGTAGATCAGATATCTGCATACATTAATAGTAAAGCAATGATGGCTATAAACTGGATGGCAAAATATCAAGAACAAAATGCAGTGTATACTGGATGACAGGAATAGCGTTAATACGGTGAAACAAGTAAAGTTAGTGAAAGGCAGATGTTGGATGGAAGAGATCAGCAATAACATGCAGTTTGCAGTGGATGGCAGGGAACAGGACCAGTGTATAACAGTAAAGGTGGCCATACACTTTACAACCATCGCAAGACCTTAGTCTTAAAAAACGTAAGATCTGCCCATCTTGGACAGGCAGATCGTACTTGCGATGACCACAATGCTGAAGGGCAGTGTGCAGTGTACGCACACCGGCCCGTTCGGCATTTGTCTCCCGAGCATCATTCAAACTAGCCGAAAATCGTAAGATTTTCGGCTGGTTTTCTAGCATGCTCCTTAGACAAAAGATGTGCCCGTCTTCATTCACGTTTAAGGTGCCCATACACTTTTCATTTAAGGTGCCCATACACTTTACAACCCTCGCAAGACTTTTTTCTTGCGAGGGTTGTAAAGTACTTTTAAAAAAAACTTACGATCTGCCCATCTTGGACAGGCAGATCGTACCTGCGATCATCACAATGCTGAATGGGCAGTGTGCGCGTGCGCACACCGGCCCGTTCGGCAGTGATCTCTCGATCATTTTAAAAACCAGTCGAAAATCGTACGATTCTCAGCTGGTTTTCCAACATGCTCGATATACAAAAGACGTGCGACTGTACATTAGAAAGGGTCGTACGCTTTCCATACACTGCACGATTCTCGTACGATCATGGGATTTCCCGCGATTCTCGTACGAGAATCGTGCAGTGTATGGGCACCTTTACAAGCATCAAGTACAGGCTGGAGATGGTGGGTGTATATTAAAGAGCAGATAACAAGTATGACAAAGCAGAAGAGAAAAATGGTAATGGGTATACAGAAGACGGAAGAAAGGGATTAGTAATAATATGTGGATGACAAGGTGCTCTGTAGCATGCAGAAGGTTGACATTGATGGGTACAGAGTGTATGGCAGGGGTCAGTAATAATACACAATGGGTGAAAGGGAACACTGAAGAGCGCAGGTTGCTGGTGAGAAGCATACAGTGGATGAGCAGTAACAGTAATAATAGCAGGCAGTGCACAGTTGTTGGGAGGATCAGTATCGCAGGCAGGGTGGTTGTGGTAGTCATGTGTGTATGGTGGAGTTGGCACTGATCCCCGCTCTTCATTGTGGATACTCGGTGATGATCAGTAAACAGTGGCTGGATGGGCTCAGTGTATCACACAGGGTGATGATTGGTGTACAGTGGGTCTGAGCACTGGCTGTACGCTGCTTGGTACACATACACACTCAAAAAGGTACACAGAGGACAGAAGGTATAGATTATAATTACAAATAGTGGACAGGGGTGTAGAAATTTTCAAAAGAACTACTTGTTCGAGGACTAAAGCGGGGGCCCAATATTCATGTCCCTCATGACAATCTACTTGTCCTGATACAAACCACCAATACACACCAAGGTGGAGACCTGACTCCGGTACTGACCTTCTCCAGGTAGCGAAGAGGAAGGGGGAACCAAACCTTCTCCTGCCCGTACTGAGCAGGGGATTCCAGGGACACAATAATCTGACAATTCAGATAATACATGGTAGAGGAATGCTCCTTGAGGTGACATGCATCCCCCGACCGGAGGAAACACAAAAAACTGAAGAGAACTATATTATTTGGAATTTGGTGATAGGTTTCCTGTCCGGTTGGAGGAGCATGTACATCTCAAGGGCTATCCTGGAAGACGTCTGGGAAAATAACTTTAACCGAAACCATATTTAACCATGCAAAAGAAGTGCTTCTCATTGGTCAGTGCGGTCAGGTGACTGTGCTGACTAACTTTTCAAAATCCATGGCGATGGGCTGCACTGAACGGCAGTACAGGGTACAGATAGTACACCCGTATCAGTGGAGGGGAAGGACCGTTAGCCAAAATGTAAGCATTTGGGTATTGGGGCTGAGAAGGAGCCAGATTTGAGCAGGTAATTTCATTTTCCCAAATTACTTGGAAAAGTGAACTTACCCTTTAATGCACATTGTGTGTTAGATAGCACTGCTGCCCGGCTACTACAACATGGCACTCAGTGGAACTGGCCAGCAGGATTATTACATGTTGGTGATGGTGGTGTTGGGTGTACAGTGGAAGATAGAGGTAAGTATAGCAGGCAGGGTGGTGGTGGTGGTGGTGGGCGTACAGTGGATGGTAGGAGTCAGTATAGCAGGCAGGGTGCTGGTGGTAATGGGTGTACAGTGGATGGTAGAGGTCAGTAAAGCAGGCAAGGTGATGGTGGTGGGTGGATGGTAGAGGTCAGTATAGCAGGCAGGGTGGTGATGGGTGTACAGTGGATGGTAGAGGTCAGTATAGCAGGCGTGGTGGTGGTAATGGGTGTACAGTGGATGGTAGGGGTCAGTATAGCAGGCAGGATGGTGATGGGTGTACAGACCATGGTAGAGGTCAGTATAGCAGGCAGGATGGTGGTGGTAATGGGTGGATGGCAGTGGTGAGTATAGCAGGCAGGGTGGTGATGGGTGGGTGGCAGTGGTCAGTATAGCAAGGTGGTTGTACGAGGGGGCCGGTTACCGTGCTCCGCTTCGGATACTTACAGGTGACCTGTAGATATGCAGACAGAGGCTTCCCCCCTCAGCAGGGCGCTGTCAGTTAGCGGCCTCTCCCCGTCTTCAGGCTTTCCTCTATAGGGCAGCGAACGAAGGGGGATCCTTTCTTCTCCGCTCTCTTCCTGGGCTTTTGTCCTCCCTAGTCACTTCCGGGGTGTCTGCAAGCTGGTGACAGGGCTGGCACACCCCTCCTTTCCTTCCACTCCCGGGTGTCTCGACAGAGGGGTCACTCCGGGGGGAGTCTCTCGTTCTTCTTTAGGGTCACTCCGGGCGGCTCCTCCCGTCTCTATGGTGCTCTCGGTCCCAGAGGGATAGTTTCCGGCGCGCGAGGTGACGTCACTTTGACGGCGACAGCGGAGGACTCGCTGGTGCTTGGATTCTATGGTACAGCGAGGTAGAGCGGTCGGGTGGACAGAGTTGTTGGCTCACGGGCTCCCCAGTGTGGTGTGGAGTGGTGTGATGTGGAGTGATGTGGAGTGAGGTGTATGTTGTGATCATCAGCTGACTGTGTTCCAGATTCATCGAAATGAAGGTGTTCGCTGTCTGCGCAACAGGCAATATCGCATGCACAACGCTTAGGTGTGAAGTGTGGCCATTGACTTGCATGGGTTTTTGTGTTTTGCGCGTTTTCGCACGATAACCAGGCCTCATGAGTATACTACTAGAACACCGTATAATAATAAAATATTCCATTAAAATAATTCTCCAATAGGGCTGATGGCGAAAGGACACAATTCCGTTTCCCGCAACATCCGCCTGAAAATAGCTCCTGCATCCTTTTGCGAGACAATTGTTTTCCTATGCGCGACGCAACGCTAAGGTGTGAACAGTAAGCATTAACTTGCATGGAAATGTGTGTTTTGAGCATTTTCCAGCAATTAGATCCGGCCATATAAACGCTCAGGTGTGAACCAGTCCCTACAAATGATACATACAGGGATCCCAACCTGAAGAAAGCAATTTCAGGGAGGTACCCTTCTCATTTAAGGGAGGTGCCCTTTTCATTTAAGGAAGGTGCCCTTCTCATTTCAGGGAGGTACCCTTCTCATTTCAGGGAGGTGCCCTTCTCATTTAAGGGAGGTGCCCTTCTCATTTCAGGGAGGTACCCTTCTCATTTCAGGGAGGTACCCTTCTCATTTCAGGGAGGTGCCCTTCTCATTTCAGGGAGGTACCCTTCTCATTTCAGGGAGGTGCCCTTCTCATTTCAGGGAGGTGCCCTTCTCATTTAAGGGAGGTGCCCTTCTCATTTCAGGGAGGTACCCTTCTCATTTCAGGGAGGTGCCCTTCTCATTTCAGGGAGGTACCCTTCTCATTTCAGGGAGGTGCCCTCTTCATTTTACAGGGTAAAAGGTTTCCCATAAGGGCATTGGTCTGGTCCCATACACATGATTGTAGGAGTCAGTGGTTCATTGTTCTCCTGCTCTGTTTGCATAGTACCATTGTATTGATAGCTTACGTATATAAGCTTGTAAGTCAACAAACATTTGATATTTACATATCCGCTTTAGCAGAGGAGCAGAGCAACAAACCTTCTTCTAATAATGATGTTTCCGTTCTACTAAGTGCATTTGGATAAATGAAAGAAAAACTCAGGGCAAAAGTGTTCCTAAGTGTTGCAGTTGGGCTAACCCCTCACTGCAAGGGTTCACTGCTCGGTTTTGTCTAGGTGCTAAAAAAAATGATACTTATCCTAACCGCTGAGCCGGCTCCCTGCTTCTCCGGTCACTGAAGCCTGTCTCCTCCTACGTTGCAGCATTGGAATGTTCCTCAGCGTCCTCAAGTCTATACACAGTGTAAAAAAATGTGATGGTTTCTACGGGACCCCTGCAGAGGAGGGAGAGAGAGGCTCCAGAAACCGGTCTAAGAACAAGCCGGCTTGGAGGATCGGGTGAGTATAACCTTTTTTTTTAGCGCCTAGACAAGGGGTAGGTAACCTTGGCTCTCCAGCTGTGCTGAAACTACAAATCCCATCATGCTTCTGCCTCTGGGAGTCATGCCTGTGGCTTACATTGCCTTATGGGATATGTAGTTTCAGCACAGCTGGAGAGCCAAGGTTACCTACCCCTGGCCTAGACAAAAACGAGCAGTTAAAGGAGAACTATGGGGTCAGGGCTTTTCCCCATAGTTCTCCTTAGGGTAACGGGAGGACACAAACTAGCGTCCACCTGTCACCCAAAGCTCGGTATACTGCGAGCTACAGCTCGCGGTATACTGAGACGCCGCAGCCGGGGAGCGGATCCCGACATTACTGTCTGGATCCACCCAGCTGCCTGAGTGACAGCTGGTTTCTGCCTATCTAGAGGCAGAGCCAGCTGTGCCCTCCCCCGTCCGTTACGCCAGTCAGCGCTGGAGGATCAGACAGGGGAGGGGGGGAATCTCTGCAGGGGCCTGTGAGTGACAGTCACGGCTCTCTGCCGCCACAGGATCGAGAAGTGAGCGAGCGCCGGTATGTGTTCGCTCACCTCCCGATCTACTGAGCCGACCTGTGACAGTGTCATTGTCACAGGTCGGCTAGAACTATGAGGTGAGTGAAAAGCACTCACCTCATAGTTCTCCTCTAACTCTGGCATTGTAGGGGAAGCCCCACTGCAAGGGTTAATCAAAGTTTTACCTTTATGTCGTTAGCATTGTTCTTCTTTTTACTTCTGTTTTTCCTTCCTCTTGTCTTTCTTCATTTGCTTTCTCTCTGTTTAAAAAAAAAAAAAAGTGTGCTTTTAATACTTTCCGGGCTTGTAAGTTTCCGGGGAAGATTGATCTCGGTCAGCTTGAGGGCTTGTTCACACCAAGCGCGTTCCAGGAGCAGAGCCGTTACAGAACGGATCAAAACTGCGTCCAATGTATTCCAATGGTATTTTGGGCTCTAGTTCACACCGCAGCGTTCAGTTCCAGAGCATGTAAAAAAAACTGCAGCAAGCTCTATTTTACCTGCTATGGAACGCATGCAAACGCATCAAAAACGCATGCAAACGCTCTGGAACGTACTGAAAGCCCATTTTAAATTTTATAAAAAACTTCAATGTTTTTTTAACCCAAAACGGCCCGGAACTCATTAAAAACGCGGCAAAAAACGTGGTATAACACACTGCCCTGCGTGTGCAGAAACTCGTGCAGATCTGGTCTGCATTTGGCTAGCTCTGAAAAAGAAATCTCAGGACTAGTCTAGAGAATCTTTACTGGGGTTAGAGTGTGGTTCAGATGTATACTGGGGGGAATTTATCAAAACTGGAGCAGACATAATCTGGAGCAGCTGTGCATGGCAACCAATCAGCTTCTCTCTTTCATTTTCAAATCTTTACTGAACAAACTGAAGAGAGAAGCTGATTGGTTGCCATGGGCAACTGCTCCAGTTTTGATCAATTCCCCTCTTTGTGTATTCAGTGGCAGTAATGGACATTTGGATGCGTAGGAGCTGATGGATGTAAGGTCAAGGACTTCTAAATCCAGAAAGGATTAATGTTCCTCATTAGTATTTTCTTCCTCACTACTCTGATACTATTCTGATAACAGACTCAATACAGAGGAACAATTCTCTGTGGATTTAGTCCGGGTTCACACCTAGGCGTTTGTGAGCAGTTCGAAAAGCGCTTTTACATACCAAACCCAAGAAATCCCATGATTTTTAATGGCGCTGGTTCACACCTGAGCCGAAAAACGCCTGAAAAGATACAGGAGCTTCTTAGGGCAGTTAAAAGCGCTTTTCCTCCCCAAAGACTTCATTGGAAATGCCCAAAAACGTGCAGCAGAAGCATGTTGCACATTAACGTGAGCGTTTTTGCGCGTTTATACGTGCGTTCTTCCATTGCCCACAATGGTTTATGAGCTGCTAATTGAAATGCACGTCATCATGTGTGCACATACGAATGTGCACAACGCGCATAAGCGCGCAAATTACCGCGTGCTGCTAACGTGCAAAAACGGTGCCGCCTAGGTGTGAACCAGGGCTTAGAAGATCTTGATCTCACATCCAGGGGTCACATATTATAATTTATTACCATACAGTGAGGTGTACATAGAGGGGGAGTACCACATCCCAATAGTTTATACCAAAGAAAAGGTTTGGAGGCGGGACATTGGAGAACCTGGACTTGGGGCAGCAGAGAGTAAATGTGACCCAGGATAAGGGGGAGAGATCTGAGAGAGACACAGAATCTCCTTTCACTTGTTCTGTTCTATAGAATTCTCTCTGTGTCCTAACACTCACATAGACACACAGAGCTATGACTCATCCTGCTGTCCCTCCACAGAGCACAGAGGGGAGGAGGGGGGTGGAGATAAGAAACCCGACCCTGTGAGAGAGACGGATTGAAGATATTGTGGAGGGAATTTTGAACTTCTAGGCCTCTAGATGAGCAGCTGATCGCCCTCCCTTCTCCTCCTGGCGCCCTCCCGACTCGGTCCCGGGCCGCAGATGGGCCAGCGGATCCTGGCCCATAAAATATAACACATTTGTATTTTTAAAAAACAAAAAAAGAAATCATCTATAAAAGACCAAAGGATGTAGCCGCATCCTCCTACAATTGTCTTAACATTACAGTGCTTTTTGCCGTTTACTGGGTATCAGCTTCCTTGTTGTGCTGTAGTCCAGTGGGAAAACGACAAAGTTTTACGCGCTTCACGGAGATCCACTTCTTCAGGAACAGGCTACTATGTTTCTATAAGAAGTTTATATATTAAAGAGCATTCATTTGGTTCCAATCCATGTAAACACATTTATTGATTAGTGTCATTCGTCTAGTTCAATGAACTCACAGTAATCTTCGAAATGGCAGAATCACTGCTATCCACCACTTGACCACGGGCACGGACGGAGAGGCACCAGAGGAGACCAGAAAACCAGGCACCCCCAGACCAAACACAAGAGTCAGGAGAGCAAAGAGAGCCAGATATTCTATTGGGTAATAACGCCTCAAAAAATCTTCTTGATATCACATACAGCAGTGGTTCTCAACCTGCGTAACCTCAGGACACACATTTGTCCTTGGTCATTAAGTCACAACCTAAGTGGCACTGCAATGGAACGCACGGCAGTGTGGGCTGCTGTGCTGTGATGGAGCTCCATCCATATGCAAATTGCTTGTACAGCTCCTATGCGTGCCAGTAGAGGTGCCGAGAGCCAGTATGTGATGTCAGTCTGGTCCAGGCACCTCTACAGGACCTGCGAGGGAGCTATAAGCAATGCATATATGGATGGAGCTCCCTCGCGGCCATACACCCACCCCACCTCAAGTCGGCAGCATATTTTGAATGGCTGCTCAACGTGAAAACGTTGTTGGCTATGCGGGGTCTCAAGAGGGCTGTGGTGTGGGGTCTCAGGTGGGCTGTTGAGGGTGTCAGGAGGGCTGTGTGGGGTCTCAGGAGGGCTGT